GGCCCCGGGGAAGGACAGGAGGACGGAGAAGGGAGATCGATCCTCCGGACGGCACCGGGGCTATCAGGTTGGCCCAGGCCCCGACCTGGAGGAACCACGCCTGACAGAAGGCAGAGAGACGTGGACTCGGAAAAGTAGAGCTGGGCTCCGAGTCGGCGGGAGGAAGCCCCGCCCTGCGCCTCCCGCCGAACTCCGGGGCCCGGGCGCTGACTCAGTCCCGGGAGGGCGAAGCTCGCGCCGTGAGCTCCGCGCTGGACCCGGACTCGAGGTCCGGGCTGCTGCTGCTGCCGCTGCTGCTGCTCCCGAGAAACTAGAGGCTTGCGGGGTGAAGGGAAATCGCTAAGCCCTCCGAGAAGTCGAGGAAAGCTAGGTGTGTAATTAAAGTTCCCCTTGAACTCGACAGGCTCCCAGGAGCTATCAGGCCCTGTACAGACACCTCCCTACCTCTTGGCTAGGTTTCCACCCCGTATCTGTGTTACCTAGGTAACTGGCACACCTGGAAGCAGTCACCTCCCCCTCCTGCTAGGTTACAACTAGGGCCTCGGCCCCTGGCCTGCCAGCTGACCCTAGGAGGGTCCCATCTGACCCTGGAGTCACATCCAGATCCAGTGTGGCCACACCTTTCCCCCACCTGGCCGCACCTCTTCTGGTCTGCGGCCTAGATAAGTCCTAGGCTGGGGATGGGTCTCCCCTTATTATGGAGACCATGCCTCTCCACCAGGCACGAAGGGGGCAGCAGTTGGGTAAATAAACTTCTTTTCCTGCCTGAATATTGCGCGTGGTGTTCTCTTCATCGGCTACCTAATGAAACCTACCTATTTAATATACCTTACAAGATTGTGTGCATGTGGGGCTGGGAAGGTGGCTCAGTGGTAGAGCGCTTTCCTTGCATGCCTGAGGCCCTGGGTTCGATTCCTCAGCACCACATAAGCAAAAAGAAAAAAGCCGGAAGTGGCGCTGTGGCTCAAGTGGTAGAGCGCTAGCCTTGAGCTGAAGAGCTGAGGGACAGCGCCCAGGCCCAGAGTTCAGGCCCCATGACTGGACCCAAAAAAAAAAAAAAAAAGAGATTGTGTGCACACAGGGAGACCAAAGGAGGAGAGAATCTTAGGAGTGAAACCGAAAGACAAAATTCCTATTGCATCTGACCCTACTAGCGAAATGAACTCCAGGAATTGGAAACAAGGTTTTCTTTTTTGCTGCTTTTGTTTTCAAAACAGCAATAACAATTCTTAAAAATTGCATACATTTCTTTTCTTGCCAGCCTAAGTTGTTTTGGAGATACCCTATTCTTGTAATATGGTAATTCAATTAACGAGGTACAGGGATGCCACAATTCAAAAAGTCGAATTTGGACTATTTATTTTAAAAACGGCGACTAGCCGGGCGCCTGTGGCTCATGCCTGTATTCCTAGCTACTCAGGAGGCTGAGATCTGAGGATCACGGTTCAAAGCCAGTCCAGGCATGAAAGTCGGTGAGACTCTTACCTCCTAATAAACCACTCAGAAAATCGGAAGTGGCACTGTGGCTCAAGTGGTAGAGCGCTAGCCTTGAGCTGAAGAGCTGAGGGACAGCACCCAGGCTGAGTTCAAGCCCCATGACCGACAAAAAAATAAAGAAAGATGGGCGACTGCATGGAGGTCTCTTGTCTCAAAGACCTGCATCCTAGAGTGGAGATAGCGTAATATATCTTTTAAAGGTAAGAATACATGCTTGGGGTGAAGACCAAGCCTAAACAATCTTAATAAAATGTCATAAACAAGTCAAATGAGGATACTTATTCCTGAAAAAGTGGTTACATACAAGCAGAGTGGTTATACATAGGCAGAGCAATTAGGTGGGGATACTTAACTTTAACAAAAGTGTTATACATAGAGCAAACTACCCAGGGGGACAATAAAGGACAACCGGGACCCTAATTATCTAGAGGAAGCACAAGCTTCCTGGAGCCCTACAACTCATGACATTTTTGCCTTCCAAAGAGTGTCCTCTACAACTTGTAGAGTTTTCAGGAAGTCCCCATCCACAATTAACTAAATCAAGGTGCCAAGATGGCATCCAGTTACTTAGATAGAGTATCCACATTTCATTCTAACTTTGCGGCCTTCCTTTTGTCCATGAGGTCATCCATACTTAGTACAATGGAATTCAGATGAAGGGATTGCATAACTTTGCTGTACTTTCAAGTTCTCGTCATGTTGCAACAAATTAGGTGCAAGATCAGATACTTTTTTAATACAAAGACTTAAAAATTAAGATCCCCAATGAAGTGCATTTGTTTTTCATTCTGGTATCTCTAAGTCCTAATTAATGTTGTAGCAATTGAATATATGTCATTCCAGGTGTAGATACTTTATTATTATTATTATTATTGGGTTGGTCCTGAGGCTTGAACTCAGGCCTGGACACTGTCCCTGGGCTTCTTTTGCTCAAGGCTAGCACTCTACCACTTAGAGTGCTTATGTAACTGTAAGCCCTCTGTACGTCACTGGGACATGGGGTTAGATGGAGGCTGCTTGCTGAGGCTAGGTAGACAGGGAAGGGCTTGGGGTATGTGAGAATCTGGGCTCAGCCATTCTTACTGTGTTCTGCCTCCTTTTGCTTGTTTTCTTCCTCCCGTTTTCTGTTAACAAAGTCAAAGGAAGAGGAAAAAAATGAAGATCACCACCTACTCAAGTGTCCTTGACATTTTAAGAGGGGCTAACATTACCAGAAGAGATTTTGAAATTCATACTTTAGCTGGGCGCCAGTGGCTCACACCTATAATCACTCAGAGGCTTAGATTTGAGGATCGCAGTTCAAAGCCATTCCGAGCAGGAAAGTCTGTGAGACTATCTCCAATAAACCACCAGAAGAGCAGAAGTGGCTCAAGTGGTAGAGCGTTAGCCTTGAGCTGAAGAGCTGAGGGACAGTGCCACAACTGACAAAAAAAAAAAAAAATCCACACTTTCCAGAAAAATTTTCTCCAGATCCAATAAAAACTCTTCTCCTTTTACATCAGTCCTTATAGCTTAAAGAGTGATGGGGCCAAAGAGAAAAACAAAACAAAACACTTTACAGCTCATCCTTTGCCCTTTGGAGACACAGATAACAGGCAGCAGGCTACTTTACTGTATGAGAGGAGATACTGCCAAGTGGCAGGGGGTGGGGGGTAGTGCCATACACATATGTAGAATACCTAGAACTACCTGAAAACCTTTTTTCCCCCCTTAGAAAGCATAATAGGATGCAACTGGGCATAACAGCTTCTCCACTTATTGGAAAAAGGCCACTGCAAGCCTTACTGGTTATATAAAGAATTACATGTGGACTACCTGAGGTTCTAATGTTTTTGACTCTAGGGGCTGGGAAGGTGGCCCAGTGGTAGAGCGCTTGCCTTGCATGCTTGAGGTCCTGGGTTTGATTCCTCAGCACCACATAAGCAAAAAAAGAAAAAAGCCGGAAGTGGCGCTGTGGCTCAAGCGGTAGAGCGCTAGCCTTGAACTGAAAAGCTGAGGGACAGCGTCCAGGCCCAGCCTTCAGGCCCCACGACCGGACCCAAAAAAATTAAATAAAAAAATAATGTTTTTGACTCTAGTTATGTGATACCCAAGTGTCATGCCATCAGTGCCCGGGCCCCAGGTGTTCAGTATGATGCAATGGGGAGAAGAAAAGAGTTTGTCCAGCCCTCCCATGTCCTCAGAAAACTGCAGAATAAAGTTAAGTGTTCATCCTTCAAGACTTGTCTCTCTGCACATGTATACAGTTGTGAGGAAAGGGGGAGTCTAGGTAAATGTTTCTCCACCATGAACACTTTTCCATGTTAATTCAAAGAAACTTACACTACAGCACTGTTTTGTTGTTTTTGTTGTTGTTTTTAATGACTTGTGACTCAGTCCTTTTTTTTTTTCCTTTGTTTTTGTTTGTTAAGATGTGACTTACCATATTGCCAAGGCTGGTCTCCAGCTCTTAGTCTGAAGGATTCTTCCAGTCTCAGCATCCCAAGTGCTTGGGACTACAGAAGTATACATGAAGTGAACGTGGCAGTGGGCCCCAATCCTTTTTTTTTTTCTTCTTCTTCTTCTGTTTTATTTGGTTGGAAGGGATTTAGGGGTGATTTTTCTCTTCATTTGTGGGTTTTTTGTTCTTGTTTTTGTCGGTCATGGGGCCTGAACTATGGGCCTGGGCACTGTCCCTCAGCTCAAGGCTCAAGGCGAGCACTCTACCACTGAGCCACCTTCCTAGCCCTCATTTGTGGGTTTTTTTTTTTTGCGATATATATATATACTATATATATATATATATATATATATATATCATATATATATATATGATATATATACTGGCCTGGAAGTGCTGAAAGTACAGACATGTACCTCTGTTGCTGAATTCATACTCTAATAGACACCCTACCTGCCTGCACTAATTTTTTTTGTTTGTTTTTTTTCATCAGTTGTGGGGCCTGAACTCTGGGCCTGGGCACTGTCCTTCAGCTCCTTAGCTCAAGGCGAGTACTCTACCACCACTTATGGTTTTCTGATAGTTTATTGGAGCTAAGAGTCTCATGGACTTTCCTGCCTGGGCTGGCTTTGAACCATGATCCTCAGATCTCAGCCTCCTGAGTAGCTAGGATTACAGGCATGAGCCACCGGCGCCCAGCTACTTTTTTTTTTTTTTAATTTAACACTGCTTCCAAAACAAGTGTGCAGGGCTGGGAAGGTGACTCAGTGGTAAAGTGCTTGCCTTGCATACATGAGGCCCTGGGTTCGATTCCTCAGCACCACATAAGTAGAAAAGGCCGAAAGTGATGCTGCAGCTCAAGTGGTAGAGCGCTAGCCTTGAACTGAAGAGCCCAGGGACAGTGCCCAGGCCCAGAGTTCAGGCCCCCATGACCAGCCAAAACAAAACAAAATAAATGTGCCATGAAATGTTTGTAAACATGGGCCATGTGTGATAGTGTACATACCTATAATCTTAGCTACTCTTAAGGTGTAGATCAGAAAGATTATTTTAAAAGGCCCATGAGGGCCTAAAGTTCATGCGATCCCATCTCTCCTAATTAAAACTTGGCACAGTGGCTTGACCTTGTCATCCCAGGTGAGAAGTATAAAATGATTTCAAGTCCCAGCCTTAAAGGTATTAACATGAGCCCTTATTAGGAAGATAAGTAAAAAGGGCTGGAGACAAGTGGTAGAGAACCTGCCTTATAAGTACAATACCAGCTAGGTACTGGTGGCTCACGCCTGTAATCCTAACTACTCAGGAGGCTGAGATCTGAGGACAGCAGTTCCAAGCTAGCTGGGGCAGGAAAATCTGTAAGACTTAACTGCCAGAAAATGGGAAGTGAAGCTGTTCAAAGTGGTAGAGTGCTAGCCTTGAGTGAAAGAGCTCAGGGACAGACAGGACCCAGGTCCTGAGTTTAAACCCCCACAGCCAACAACAACAACAAAAGTGCAATACCCT